AGGGACAGCGCCCAGGCCCAGAGTTCAGGCCCCAACAAAAAAAAAAAAAAAAAAAAATACACCTGAGGAAAACCAGCCCCTTCCCTGTGGAGGCATCATTGGGGAGGATGGGGAGGATGGCAAGAAGGTATATGTACTGGGAAGAGACCACCACATGGCCACTCCCTGCCAGAGGGTATTTGCAACTGTTTCCACAGGTTTACAACTGCAAAGAATGCTGCAAACAGCAGCCCTGTTTGCCTATGTCACACAAACACTGTGTGCAGTCCTCCACCTAGAACTGTGAAGAACTCCTGTGGAGTCCATACATCAAACGCTTCAGCATCTCCACACATCCTCCCACCGCCATCTTTAAATCTCCACCGTTACAGTGCAAATGCTATGCATTTATTTGATATTTGTGTTGTATGTATGCACAGGGACCAGAAAAGTAATCTGTACATGTTCAGGATAGCCTAATGTATTTTTCCCAATATTTTCCATCTGAAGTGGATAGAATCTCCAGATGCAGAGCTCAGGATACAGAGCAAGCTGAACATAGTTCAAACTCAAAGGGACCAGATAGCAATTTTATTTATTTATTTATTTTACCAGTACCAGGGCTTGAACTCAGGGCCTCATGCTCTTGCTTAGCTTTCTTGCTCAAAAGTAGTGCTCTTCCACTTGAGCCCCATATAGTCAGGCACTAAGTTGGGCTTTTCAGTCCAGGCTGACTTCAAACTATAATTCTCCAGGCCTCAGCCTCCTGAGTAGCTAGCCTTCAATGTATAAGTCACCAGTGTCCAGCTCAGACAGCAAATTATTTAAGCTTGTGGGGTCAAATAGTCTCTGTATTAACACCTCAAGTCTATCTAGCACAAAAAGCAGCTATAAACGGTATGTAAATGAATTCTTTTTGGACACATGGATTTGAATTTTAAATGATTTTGCATGTTATAAAATATTCTTTTGATATTTTCCCTAACCATTTTAAAAATATATAAGCCATTCCTAACAGGGTGTATATAGCTCATCTCAAAGGCTCTCATCTGCTCTGAGAAGTAGAAGTCCTGAGCTCTTAGGCTGAGATCTGAAGATTGTGATTCTAAGCTAGCTTGAGCAGGAAAGGCTCCAGAAGACTTTTTATCTCCAATTAACCACTAAAAAGCTGGAAGTGGGTCTGTGGCTCAACTGGTAGAGTGTAATACTAGCCTTGAGCAAAAATGCTCAGGGATAGAGCAAGGTGCCAATGTCTCATGCCTATAATTCTATCTCAGAAGGCTGAGATCTAAGGATCAAGGTTCAAAGTCAGGCTAGGCAAGAAAGTCTCATGAGACTCTTATCTCCAATTAACTGCTCAAAAACTGAAAGTGGCCTTGTGGCTCAAGGTGGTAGAGGTCTAGCCTTGAGCAAAAGAGCTCCAGGACTGTCCTGGCCCTGAGTTCAAGCCCCATGACCAAAAAAAAAAAAGCCCTGGTTCAAAAATAGTGAGAATTTGTAAAGTTGGAACAGTGGGAGTCTCTGAAAGACCCTGTTTCTTTGTGGATCTTTTTGGTCTCTGAGCTTTCAGTCCAGTTCTGGCCCTGTGTGTCATAGAGATTGGTAATAAGTCTTTGTTCTCTGATCTTTATTCTTCCACAGGTGGGACTCAAGTCTGGATGGAGTGATTACCTGAGAGGCACCTGTCCCAGCAGCATTATGGGACAAACTACGTAGGAAGACTACCTACTCACAAATCCTGCCTGAGTAGCTCTGTGACCCAGTGCAAGGCCTCCCCTCATCTACAATACAATAGCTGGTTGAAGGGATGAATGACAGAAGCATAATGATCACACACACACACACACACACACACACACACACACACACGAGGGTACCAAGAGGTACCAGGTAGCTTCTTCCAGTATGCTTAAGAACATGAATCTCCTGCCCTCCAAGAACCTGGCATTCTGTTAAACACTTCTCTAATCTGAAGGAACTGGGTACTCACCTAGCTGAGACAGGCACTACTGGGGAGACAAGAAAAAATTATCAGGTGACGGGCCTGCCAGCAGTGGCCACCAGAGGGCACCCGAGCCCCAGTGATGCCCCACCCATACACATTCTCCTCCAGAAATGGCTCCTTCACATGAGAAGTGGGTGGAGGTAAATTAGTTCAGAAAGTGACAACCTGGGGTGCGGTCAGTCAAAGGGAGGCCCCATGGCCTGCGGACCATAAAAAAATAAAAATGAATAAATAAAAAAAACTTGGAACTGAGGCAGAGGCCAGATTATAACTCTAACTTGGGGCTAAGATGGAGCTACCCATGACCTTGGGCAAGGCACTTCCCTCTCTGGCCCAGGTTCACAGGGTTGGGTCAGAATCCCGTGCCAATCACACTAGCACCACAGGGTTCTAAAAGATGGGAGACATTTTTCCTTTCTCAGTCCTGGGCACATCCACCTCAGGGCCACACACTTTGGCTGCCAGCCTTGGGGCAGCAACTACCAGAGAAGCCACATATCCCAACCCCAAAATTCCAAAGCCCCAGGACTGTGGTGTCATAGAGGTAAGAGCCCCAGGGGGGTAGTGTGCAGGGAAGTAGAAGGGCAAGGTCAGGGGAGCAGAGAGCCCCAAAGGGTCTTGATTCACTCATTCAGGACAGATATCCGGTTTCCTCTGGCTTGTCTGCCGGGATCTAGGGGCTTAGAGAAATGAGTCATGGGAGGGAGGGGGGATATTGGGGAGTTCCCAGTTAATCAGCTCCAAATGGGTGATGGGTCCTACCCAAGCATGGGGTTGTAACAGGAGACCCCAATATCCCATCCCAGGCCCCTGCAGGAGAAAGCCTCCTGGGAGTTGGTACACAAGAATGGAGACAAGTAGGCTCTTCCTTCTACCTAGGGTACAGGTGGCTGTGCCAGCATGTCTGCCAGAGGGAGGGAGGGAGGGAAACGATCCCTTGGGACTGGCCCCTTCCCCATGGGCCTGGCCCACCTCCATCCAGCCTCAGGACTGAGGCAGCAGTGGTGCCAGTTTCTCTGCCCTCATCAAACATATGGGGCCAGCTGTGGGCCTGGGTGGGGCTGGAGGGGAGGAAGAGAGCTTGAGGGGGACCAGAGGATGTCAAGGCAGAATGAGAGATTCCATCATTTCACAAAACTTTCGCAAACAACTTTTTTTTTGGTCCACCCCCCCCCTGCATTGTCCTGGACACCAAATTTGCATAAATCCTAGGAAGTTATTACTAAGCCTTAGTTGCCACAAGCCCAGGTAATTTCCTCCCCAGACTCCAAGGGTTTATGTATAAAGGCCCCTGAAACAGGGCCTTCTCAGAGCCCAGAGCTTGCAGCACAGATTTCCCAGGACCCATGGCAGAACTTGCTACCCAGAGCCCCGTGCAGCTGATGGGTGAGTGCCCTGGCTCTTTGCCTGGCTGTGGGAGGATGGTAGGAGTGCCGAGCCCCATCTGAGCCCCATCTGCTCTCAGCCCTGCAGCTGCTGTTGTGGCATAGTGCACTGTGGACCGGGCAAGAGGCTGTGCCCTTGAGCCCTGCCAGTGCCCTGCCCATTCCCCGGAGCTTCCTGCTCAAGTCCTTGGAGCAAGTGAGAAAAATCCAGGCTGAGGGCACTGAGCTGCTGGAGGCGCTGGTGAGTGGGAGCCTGGGGTGGGGGAGGGGAGGACAGAAGACCCCAGGAGAAGGCCCAGAGAGGAGGAGAAGGATGAGTACTCATGGGAAGGGCACGCGGGGGAAAGTGTCATCAGGAAAGGCACATAGGGAGAGAGGCACAGGGGCCAAAAGAAAACTAGAAGAGGTAAAGGCGGGACCCTCTCTGGTGGGAACGGTGATGGGGTTCTGGCCAGGACCATCAAGGAGACCCCACAGTCAGGAAGGCTGGGCCCAGGGCAAAGGGGCAGGGAGCCAAACAGAATGGGCCAAGGAGAGGGCCAAGAGGAAGGCAAGAAAGAGGGTAAGAACAGCAGCCGGTCCTCAGTGACTCAAGATCCTTTCTTTCCTTTCCTTCCCCAGTGCACCACCTACAAACTGTGCCACCCCGAGGAGCTGGCGCTGCTCGGCCACTCTCTGGGCATCCCTCATGCTCCCCTGAGCAGCTGTACCAGCCAGGGCCTGCAGCCGGTGAGTGGAAGGGTGATGGGGGCAGAGGAGGAAGGAGAGGTAGACCACACCCCTTTACCTGGGCATGTAAAGGGGGCGCCCTATACCAAGCGGCACAGCCTAATTCTCCTACTCTGTCCCCAGGAGGGCTGCCTGAGCCAACTCCACAGTGGCCTGGTCCTCTATCAGAGCCTCCTACAGGCTCTGGCAGGGATTTCTGCTGAGGTCTCGCCCGCCTTGGATATGCTACAGCTGGATGTCACTAACTTTGCCATCACCATCTGGCAGCAGGTGAGCCTTATAGGAGGGGTGAGGATCAGAATCAAGCTGGGTCATGCTACCACCACACCACTGCCCAAAGATGGAAGCATTCCCCAAAACATGTGTTGTTGTTGTTATTTGGAGGGGGGGAGGGGGGTCCCTGTATTCAGGCCACTCCTGCTACTCTCCTTCCTTCCTGTCCTCCCAGCCCAAGGTATGGATGGAGTAAGATCTCAGGACCTTGAGATAAACTTAGGTTCAAGTCTTGGCACCACCCATTAGCAAGTGTGAGCATCCACAGTGGGACCCGCAGCCCCTAACTTCTCATCTCCCCCCCCCACAGATGGAAGACCTCGGGGTGGCCCCTGAGGTGAAGCCCATCCAGGGCACCATGCCAGCTTTCACCTCTGCTTTCCAGCGCCGGGCAGGGGGTGTCCTGGTCATCTCCAACCTGCAGAACTTCCTGGAGCTAGCATATCGAGTTCTGCGCTACCTCACTAAGCCCTGAGCACAGAGCTTTCCCCTCCAGTGCATCTATCTCTATTTATTTTCTTCTTGGTCTTTTGGTACTGGTACTGGGGTTTGAACTCAGGGTCTGGGTAATGGCTTTTTCTCTACTATTTGAGCCACAGCTCCACTTCCAGCTTTTTTTGGTGCTTAGTTGGAGATTAGAGTCTTACAGACTTTCCTGCCAGGCTGGCTTCAAACCACCACACAATGCTTGGATTGCAGCCTCCTGAGTAGCTAGGATTACAGGCGTGAGCCACTGGCGCCTGGCTTATTTATCTCTATTTAATATTTATACTTATTTAAGCCCACTATTTAAAGTTAGGGAAGTGAGGATGGAGTCAGCTTCTAAGTCCTTCCCTTCATCTTCCCGAGTTTCCTTCTTCTGCCTGTAGCAGCAAGAAAAAGCTCCTGTTCTCTTGTCCTCCAGTCCTCTGGACTGGGAGGTAAATAAGTAAATACCAGGTATTGATTCCTGACACTGCTCCCCAGCCACAGTGAGTCCTCTCCCCCCTGGGGACCCTGGGGAGTACCAGGAGGTCTCCCACGTGGGAGACCATACATTCCTGTTTAATATTTAAACATCAGTGTTCTCAACTGGACTGACTTCTCAGTCAGGTCCTGCGTTCCTTCACATCCCTGTCCCAGGGGATTAAGTCCCTGCAGGAGCAAAGGCGATACAGCAGGGAAGCCTGGCCTGGCACTTGCTCTGAGTTTTCTTTGTGCCTCCCAGCACAAGCTCAGGCAGTGGGTGCAGCTGCCCTGTGGCTGATGAGGCTGGCAGTTTCTTCAGGGCCTTGTCAGGCTGGGACTGGCACATGGGAGGGAAAGATGGGGAATCGTGTGGGGAGCAAGCATGACTGTACATTCTCTCCCTTCCCCTCCCCCTTCCTTACTGTAACTAAATGTGGAAAGAATAAAGTCTTGGTCTCCAATACATGTTCTTCCTCCTCCTTGTATCCAGCTGGTGTGGGGTAGAGACTGGTAAATGGCAGCTGAGGGCAGAGGGTAGGGAGAAGGATCCTCTAGCTCAGCCAACAGTTGATGTTTAGCCTGCATCACCTGCGATGCCCCCTTGGCACAGATGCTGGGCTACATGGAGACATGGCAGGGAAAAGAACCACAGCTTCTTGGGGAAGACAAAGGCAGACAGGTCACAGGTCAAAACACAAGTGGCTGGGTTGGGCCACCAGGCTGGACATGGACTACAGCAAGGGCAAATGTTTGCCCTGTGCCACACACTTGAACACCTCCACAAAGGTGAAGCACCTTTCACCGACAGGAAGCTGAACTTGAAGTGACCACTGAGGCAGAACTCCAGGTTTGGCTTGTGGAGCCCACCAACAAAGAACGCCCCAGCAGAAGTCTCCCAGCCCTGGGCTCAGCCTTCCCGGCTGAGAAAACCAACTGGAATAGTGGGCCAGAGCCGGAGGCACACCTCCACTGACGGCTCCCAAGGGGTCTGGGAGAGGCTAGCCACCCTGCTGTCCCCTTACCCATGTGGCTTCTCAGCCTCAGACCTGAAGAGTTCAGTAGCAGCGAAAGGCTATTAAGCTCTTGCCCGTACCCGCACAGCCTTTTCTGGAAGGCACAGATGGAAATCAGGGCCATCAGACTGGGCAGGGTTAGACTAAAGAGCAGGACATCTGCAAGGCGCTGGTGGCTCATGCCTGTAATCCTCGCTACTCAGGAAGCTGAGATCTGATGATTGAGGATGGAAGCCAATATGAGCAGAAAATTCTGTGAGACTCTTCTCTCCAACTAATCAGGAAACAGAACAGAAGTGGTTCCAAGTGGAAGAGTGCTAGCCTTGAGCAAAAGAACTCAGGGTCAGTGCCCAATCCCTGAGTTCAAGTCCCAGGACTGGCACCAAAAAAAAAAAAAAAAAGCAGGACACATGCCCTAACACCTGTGAGGCCTTTTACCAGAACCTGTCCCCCCCCCCCTTTTTTTTTTCCAGTCCTGAGGCTTGAACTCAGGGCCTGGGCACTGTCCCTGAGCTTCTTTATGTTCAAGGCTAGCACTCTACCACTTGAGCCACAGTTTACCAGAACCTGTCCCCCCCCCCTTTTTTTTTTTCCAGTCCTGGGGCTTGAACTCAGGGCCTGGGCACTGTCCTTGAGCTTCTTTTGCTAAAGGCTAGCAGTCTTATCACTTGAACCACAGTACCACTTCCAGCTTTTTCTGTGTATGTGGTTTTGAGGAATCCAACTCAGGGCCTCATGCATGTGAGGCAAGCAGCATTCTACCACTAAGCCACATTCCTAACCCCATCCTGTTCCTTTTTTGTTGGGGAAGGGAGGGAGGGGAGGGGAGAGGAGAAGGCAGGGTTGATTCTCCACTACCCCAGTAGGGTCTGCTGAAGGAAGCTGCTCTCAATCTGCCCCATCCTGTCCCTGCCCTGCCCAGTAAACAAATGCACAAAGAGTACCTGGGCCCTGGCCTCGGCCTCTTCCTCACCACAGGACTGAACCCCTCCCAGAACCCGGAACACAGGGGGAGGACAGGGGGAGGACAGGCACAGGTAAAGCACTTAAAGTCACAGCATCCACAGGAACCTTTATTAACAAATGAGCCCAGGTGGCCTCCTTGGATGTTACAAAAATACTTATGTATACACTATGCATCTACAAAGTTACTCCCTCAGGGTGGGTCAGCATTTGGGACCCTGCTACCCTACCCTTCAGGAAGTGGCAGAAGGGAAGGGATGTTACAAAATCAACTGCAAGATGCCTTGAAGTCAGAAGTCAGGAGTGGGCAGAGTCTGCAAACTGCCATCATGTAGATATACAGGATAGAAGATGGTAGCTCACTCTCCTCACAGTTCTCTCTGGAGTACTATGTCTGAGTCCCTCCCCAGCCACATCTGCAGCCACTCCAAGTTCCTCAGAGTGCAGCGATGGCTTTGGCAGCCACCTGGCGGCCCAGAGGCAGGCTGAGGTCTGTGATGGCCAGAACCACCTTGGGACTGGACATGGCAGACACCTTCACTAGTTCCGACACCTGCCACAGACAGACATGTGAACACAGGGGAGCGCCTGAGGGATGAAGTCCCAGGAGAAAAGCCTCTCCCACCTCTGCCCTGCCTGCTGCCCTTGTCCCCTGGTACTCACGGTGGTGAAGGGCATGAACTGCAGGATGCTGCCCTGGCTGCCCTGCTCCAGGCAGTCCACACACTCCTCCATGAACCACTGCACAAACTGTGTGTGGGGGCCAGCGGTGCGTGAGCCCAGGATGGAGGAAATGAGTAGGAACAGATTGGCTGTGCAGGAAGGGACAGACGAGTTCCCTGAGAACAGGTCAGCCTCCATAAGGGAAAAGGAGGAAGCACTAAGCGCACTCCACATGGGGAGATCAGAGGAAGGGCAGGAGGAAGGCAGGAGAGAAGCAGCACCAATACTTAGGGAAGGTGGAGGAGGGGGGTGGGGGCTGCTTGGAGGGAAGTAAGGGACTTTGGGGGACCCTTCCAGTCAGGGCCCCGCCTCCAGTTGTGCTCAGGAGAAGCTGGCAGGACTTACCCAGCACTCGATTCAGAGGATCCCTCATGTTGACTGTGTGGAGCTGGGAGGCCGAGAGAGAGGTGTTCATGGACCGGTCAGCTGTGATGAGGCAGAAGGGAACTGAACTCAGAACCAGCGCTTTCTACCCTCTCACCTGCCATTAGGGGTATGCATGCTTGCAGAGCCTGGGTGTGATTTGTGGACCAAGATGCACAGCAGGACCCCCATAAGAAGATAGGGGAGGACTGGCTTAGTGGTAGAGTGCTTGCCTAGCATTCAGGAAGCCCTAGATTCGGTTCCTCAGTACCACATGAACAGAAAAAGCCAGAAGTAGTGCTGTGGCTCAAGTGGTAAGGTGCTAGCCTTGAACAAAAGCAGATCAGGGACAGTGCACAGGCCCTGGTGAGTTCAAGCGCCAGAACTGGCAAAAAAAAAAAAAAAAAGATGGGGGAAGAGCTAAAATCACGTGAGCAACACAGGGCAGGAGCAATCTTTGCATGAAGCCACTGAACCCTCTCGATGCTCCATCATACAGACCAGAAAAAAAACTGAGACTTGGATTTGCTTAAGGGCCTAGCGAAGGGCCATGGGTTTATAGGTGGCAGACCCAGCATCTTTTCTGCTTAAGTGTGGATCTCAGTCCCCAGTATGCCCCAGAGAAAATTTCTAGGCTCTGGAGAAACCTCTGGAATGAGGAAAAATTAAACGGCACATAAATATGGAGTCTCTGGCAGAAGTGTGGTGAGGAGGGGAGGGGAGGACAATGAAGGAAATGACATTCAGAGAATCAGAGCTGGAAGGGAAATTCTCCAGTTAGGAAGGGGTGTGAGTCACCCCAGGTCCCAGCTGGGTCTCCTCCAGGCCGCAGGGCATGCTTCAAGGGAAGGAAGGAAGGAAGGTGGAGCAGGTGAGTCAATGGCACAGGCTGTGCTGGGGCTGTGAACTCATTGGGTGCTTGTCACCCCTCAACACTGTGGTGACTGAGGGCGGGCGCAGGAACAACTGAGGGGCTGCAGGGCTCTGGGCAGGAGAGCTTCACTCTCTGGGGAGAGACAACAGTGCAGCTCCCATGGGACAGAATGACACAAGCTTCAGCCACATCTTCTGACAGGTGTCTTCATGCAGAAGCGGGTCAGGGGTCCCAGGCAGGAAGCAGCCCCAGCCCTCCCACGTACTCACTCGGACTTGACAGAAGGTTGGCATCATCCTCAGTGGAGCTCAGGAGCCGCATCAGCTTTGAGGGCTGCGTGTCTTCCAGGGGGAAGAGGCTGATGTAATCCTGGGGGGCAGGAAGGTCGCCATCATGCCCGACTCCCCACATTTCCAGCTATGGGGGGGGAATCAACTCCCCACAGCTCATGGATGGGCACCACCAGTGAGCAGATTCCTCTCTCCTCTCCCCACCCCAAACCCCAGTTAGAAGACAGGACCTTGGCAGGCAGTGTGGGGTCCCATAGCAACCACTTCTCCAAACCTGGGCTAACCAAGCCCCCACACAGCT